CCGGAGGAGCGACATTGGTTATTATTGTGACTCGTACAAAAGGGAGCGGCGTCTGCGCGGCGCCGCCCCACCCGCTGCGGGTGCGGGGCTGCGCTGAGCCGCCCGGTCCCGACCCCGGTCCCCATCAGCCGTAGTGGTACACAAAGTCGTAGCTGCTCGGCTCCTTGGGGATGGGCGGCGGCGCCTCGGGGATCTGGATGTTCTCCAAGTCCAGGAGTCTCAGCTTCATTTCCATGCTCAGCAGCGTGTCCAGGTCACTTTTAGTCAGCTCACTGGACATGTCCTTCCCCAAGAGGGCATTAAGCCCATCAATCCAGATACAGTACTGTGGAGAAAAAAAAAGAAAAAAAAAAAAGGTAATTCACAACTGCAGGGGTAAATGATAGGTTGTGTTGAATCTTTCCCTCCATGCAACAATTAGAGAAACTCGTATACAGCTCTAAGATAGGAAACATGAGAGGGAGTTAACCTATGATGGGGAAAAAAAACAACAAACCAACAAACACCCAAACCAATCCCAAAAACTGCCCACAGAGATTTCCAATGAAAGTTAGAAGCCTAAAGATAAGCATAACCCCATGGCTCTAGGAGAGGGCCAACAGTTTATATCATGGCATAATAACAAAAAAAGCAAAGCTAATTACAACAGAAAAAGCAAAGCTAATTTAGGCATCACCATCTTATCAAATCAGGAAAAGGGAAAAACTGACTGCATAGGAGAAAAGAAAATATCAGTCCAGACTAAGGGAAGTTAGTGTAGGATTTATTTTTTTTTTTTAAAGAAAGATAACTGGGGGAGGGGGGGGAGGAAGAGTCACACTAAGGCATTGGCAACATTTTCCAAGAATGAACCTGGTAGGAGACAACCTGCTCAAGCATTTAATGAGAAGCAACTGATCCTTCTTAATCTCTGAATTAATTGCTTTATATTTGACTGCTTAACTGCTATGTTTCTTACCTCATATTTATTAGGTGCAATGAAGTTCAAGGTCTCATCAGGATCATATAATATCGAGAAGGCCAATTCTAACACTTCCTGAATGGAAAAGAATCTTTCACTCATCAACTGAAAAAAACATCACAGCACCTTCTGCCTGCTAACCCAACAAGAGAAGCTGCCTTGCTGCAGCTCAGTGCACTTTCCCGTATCAGTATTCTGAGTAACTCAGAGTAGCCTATAGCACAAACCCAGACTATGCTCACAGCACCTGGCAATCGCAAATGAGTACTAGAAAAAGGCCCAGACATGAGATGGGTTTTGTAAACAATACACCTGCAGCGTGGAAGGCCATTTGCTCCTGTTGCTTACTTTCACAGTCTTCAACTCTATAGCACTGGATATTAATGACGGGCAAAAAGGGAGCACTTACCTTGTTCTGTTTCAGTGCACTCTTTTCCTTCATGTGTGGACAATCCTTCCCTGTGACAATGGCTTTGATGTCTGCAACTGGAACTAACAGTGAAAAAGTAAAACTAACAAACAAGAAATCCTAACCAGGGAAAGACAGAACTTTGTTTTGTCTTTGCAACTGAGCATTGTTACTGTTTTTATAGCTCATTACTGCAGTTTTCCAAAACACATTTCCAGTGACACATGCCTAGAGTTGGCTGTTACAAGAAACACAAAGCAATTCCAAGACAAAGGATTTGGGCAAGGACCAGAAGTTGATCTCACCTCAGTCAGGGCTTCAGCTACAGCTGTTGTTCTCTTCCCTCTAGAATGCTATTCATAACAGCCTCTAGACAGCAGAGCACAGAACATTGCATAGTGTGCTCAGAGCAGTAATTGGAACTTACTTTTTTCCTGTAGAGATTCAAATGTCACTTCCCCCTGGGCATTATCTTCCAGATCTCCATAGTGTAGCACCTTGTGATTCAGAGCCAAGCGACAATACCAGAATCTTTCTGGAACATACATCAAGTAGAGTAAGCTAAGCAAGATCATTCCCATAAGGTCTTACAGCCTCTACATTATAGACTCCCCACCCAATCCCTCTACTCCCCCAGGTTCCTCAGCATTGTTTCCTGTTCATGAGAGGATGGCTGTATTCTTAGAAATGTGCATCTGTTCCATCCCAAACTACTGGCTGGTATAGGTAGCCCATGTAACCATCTTTCCTTCTTGGCAACATGCCTGCTGTAAGAGTAATCCACTAGATCTTATTTGCCATTTTTTCACATGAAAAATGCAGTAGGTGCTGTCACCTTACCTTGTCTTCTGCGATTTCCAATTTTTCGAAAGCTACTTCCCTCACAAAGCCTGTTCAGGCGCTGTTGCTTTATCAGCTCCAAGATCTCAGGTTGGATTTTCTCTCTCAGCTCCCTGGCAATCAAATACAGAAGAGTAAGCAGAGAATGGCGGTGACGGCAAGTACAGGAGGCAACTGTTTTTGCACTGGCTCTTACACAATAGGCGGTGACTGGAAGTCATCTTGGCTCATTCTCTCAGACTGGCGTAGTCGCAGAATCTCAGAATAGCTCAGGCTGCGCAGTTTGCTCTTGAACTGGTCCAAGGAGTTTGGTTTAGAGGGAAGAGCCCGTGTGATCTGTTCCCTCACAACCTGCATAACCTAAAGAGGTTGGGCAGGGAGGAAAAGCAAGTCACAGTCTCACTGCTTAATGGCAGCAGAGAACCAGGGCACAGCTCAGTGGCAGCAAAGAACTGACATGGAATAATGTACTAGTGACTTTGAAGATCCAGAAGAACAAAGAATGACATCAGGTCATACCAAATAAAAGCTGCACCATCCTCCCTTACAGCCCATGATAATGCCCTGTCATACCTTCTCCACCCTACTCTTTAAGCAAGTGTACAGGCTGAGTGAACAGGTGCTGTTCTGCAAAAGATTCTACACAAATACCTCTTCTCCACTCTGACCTTATTAAAATCTTCTGCTGTCGCCCTCATTTCTTTCCAGGTCTTGTTCAACAGCTGGATGCAGATGGCAAATAGCTCCTCAAATGCACGGTCATGGGTGAAAAACATGGGGTGATAGTCATTCCGGCCTTCATTGGCTTCAGAAAGAAAGAGAAACCACAACCATGTGAGCATATTGCACAAGAGCTGCTAAGAATAACCAAAATCCACTACAGTGACAGAAACCTGATGGTGTGCAATAGTACTAACTTAAGAGATCAAGACAGTTCGATGCTTCATCTCTGCATAGACAGTCTATACTCTGTCTATGGCAACTCTCCCCACGCTTCACCATGCAAGCTTCTTGTGACTTGTGCCCTTTTCATACTAGCCCCCAAAATGACTGCTTGCAATTGTTTCCCACTTTCCTGTGGTAGAATTTCTTATAGTGGTTAATTGTCTCAAAATGCTGTTTTGGGACTGTCAGAGCTACTAAACTTTTCTCAAGTTAAGGATGGTTTCTAGAGTGTTCTTTTGTTTTTGTTTTTGTTTTTTTTAATACAGCACCCTGCTGAAGCTTCAGGAAGTTGAAGCCTTCTGCTTGTGAGTTTTTCCAGAATAACCAGAGCTCACACAACAAAATTTCTTACTTTACTTTGATACTGGTATTATCACTGGGACACTGAAAAGCTCCAAGCTCCTCCTGTCTTTACAAGGCAGAAGTGAGATTGAAGTACAAATGCCTGTGAATACTGGTCAGTCTGAAAGCTACTTCCAGAAGCATCAGTCCAGCAACTTGGAAAGCTGGGCTAATAAATGGTACTTACGGAGTTCCCCAACTTGCAGGATCTCACAAAGCATCCTGGTAAGCTCAATGGCACTGCGACCAAAGGGACACTCGTGCTTATCTTCTCGACTGCTGTTCTCCAGAACAATCTACAAGAGGATACAACACACACTATGAAGAGCTGCTGAAATGTTGGTTTCTGCAAAAAAACAGCAGCTCCACTTACCCTGATATAGGTGTCCTGATGAAATTTGGCCAAGTAGAGCATGTTGTCCAATGCCAGCATCCCTGGAGGTGTCTGAGTAAAATCCATGGCTGGATTGATGTGATTCTGTGAAAAGCATATTGAAAGAACCCAAACAAATTAGCTTAAATAAATTGTGCGAGAACCTTTTCTGAATGAATTTTACAACCGCCTGTCCATCAAGTACTCCCTCACATCTATCCAAGAAGTAACCTTGGACTCCTGCTGACAACGCTATCCAAACTTTCTAGAAGAGAGGCTGATACCAAGTTCTTCATAGAACAGGTACATATGGTAAGTAAATATCCACAGAGGATGTGCCTAAGGAACCCTGGCATTTAACCAATCACTAAGTTCATAATGACCTTCCCTGGGAGTCTGAGTGTAGCTGAATTTCTGAAACTTGGATACAGAAGTACAATAAAGCAGACAGCTGTTTCTGTTCCTTATTTCCCCACAAATCTGATGGGGATCACTTAGATTGCCTTTACATGCTTTACAGTCAGCGCTCTTGCTAGATGCATACAGTGAATCCCAGCATCTTGTAGTCCTTGGTGTACATCGCTTTGCGTTTTTCTGTTCCACTGCCAGGGATGGTGTTGCTGTCAGACTCGGCATCAAATGCAATTCTTCTCAACTCAAATATGATGTCTCTCTGTGCCTGAAGGACAGAAAGGCAGGGAAATGGTAACATGTGATCAATCACTAGCACAGTATTTTCACATAATGCACAGTCCCACTTCTCTCCCCAGAGCTCACACAGTGAATACAGAGAGATGCTAAAGGTCATTAACACTACATAAAAAGAGGCAATCGATTTCAAAATGGCAAGTTTCAGTATATTGGGTAATGCAAAATATTTGTGTGCATTTTCCTCTAACCGCCCCAAGTTTAGTTAATGGCAATTTCTAGGCATTCCAATAATGCTAAGCCATTTCTCACTCAAGACTACAATGCATCTAAGAACTGAGTAACGGACACCTTAAAAATTCCCAGCTTCCTTATATACTGCAAGGAAAAGGATAAAATTATGTGCCCTCCATAGAGGTGGAGTAATCAGTGTGACAGCTGTCATCACACTGGTCAAGAAAGGAATATATGGTTTCCAGTGACCACTTATATCTCTGAAAGCCCCACAGAATAGAGCAGGATGGTGATGAACATACCTGAACCTCAGTGACTACAATGTAAGGGGTGGTTTTGAAATTTACGCACCATCTACTGCAAATTCTATGTAGTTAAGGAGCTCAGGAATAAGGCCCCTTGTATGTCCTATTCTATCAGATCTTACTCAGCTCTAATAGTGACCTGATCATTGGGATCCATCTTGGTCATCATTCTCTCTTCCAGGAGATTAAAGGTCAGGACCTGTAGCACGTACAGCTGATGTGCCATTTCTGTTTTGATTGGGCGGTTTCCTCTGATCACATGCTGCAAAATAAAGGATAGGGTAGAAATACAGAGAATACAAATAATAACTGAGGTATTAGCTGTAGGCATACGCCAGGCTACATGTACATCTCTGTATATGAAGATTCAGCTGTTTAACCTCCATATTCCATCAGAAACATGCTCTGTAACAGCAGAAAGAAGCATCCTGATAACTCCCTTTTGAACAAGTGGCTCCAATTTCACCTTTGAAAGAGTCACTTTTCTGGAAGTGCCCCGAGGACAGCAGAATTTAAACTCTGCACAAGTGAAATCACTATAGAGAGAACATTAGGAAGCACTCTGTCATTTCAGACATACTTACGTTTAGGATTATAGACCTCAGGTGCTTCTGGGCAAATGCATTAGCCATTTCCTGTTGCGGAATTTAGAGATGAAATAACATGAGAGAAATATAAACAAAAAGTCCACATTGTGCAGAAAGGAGAGAAAAAAGGAAGCCTATGAATTGCAGATAGCACTGGCACACAACAAAGTGCTTTTCACTACAGACTGTCAATTTAGCATGGTATCTCACCACAAAGCAAGCATCAAGTTGGGATGCAAGGGTTATCTTTACCATGGCACAACTCATGGATGGCTCCCCTACAAAACATTATTAATACAGAGAAAGGCACTAACACAGTCAAAAAACAGAAGAAAATTTAGCTTAGCATTGGACATGTAATGATACGTCAATATCAGGAGATATGGCAGGAGGGAGCATACTGTGGGTTGCCCAGAAAAATCTGTCACCTACAAGAGGTTTCTTCAATTATAATTTCACAACTTTCTATACCTAGGTATATACCCAAGATAACAAGGGCTAGATAACATAATTTTCAGGTTTCCTCCCTCTCAAAAACTCCCGCTGAAATGTACATTTCCTTTATCTCACTTCCTGGAGAGATGTTTAGAAATCAGTTAGGAGCAGTTTGTAGAAGCACTTAAGTTTACAAAAATAAAGGGTAAATATTTTTTATGCTTAAAGTAAAGCTTCCAGTTTCCCCTCTTTACTGCATGGCTTCCTTCCCCAGATGAGGAGGGTTTCCCAACCATCAAGTCACAATGACAGTCACAGCAGATACAAGTATCTGCTGCAAGCCTTCAGTTCTGGGACCAATTACACATTCACCTGCAAAAATCTAATTTGTGCTTTCCTCGTTGTGATAGTGGGACACTTGTAAATTGTGAAGGTTCACTTTTTAAAATACCAGCAATCTCATTACACCTGCTAGGAGAGTGGCACAAGTGCTACCATCAAGATGGAATATTATCAGAAGTTGCTGTTATAAGCAAAATCTTTGGGTAAGAAAAATCTGTTGGGCTATATATCATCTGGAGGAAGTCCAAACCAACGACCAGTCTGAGATCTCTTCACATTCCTATGGAGTGCAGATTGAGAACTGGAAGCAGATGTGTAGTCTTAAGACAATTGTACTCCATCAGTTGTACATTCTGAGCAGTCCAAGACTGTTCCACCTGCTGATATCAACCCTGCTCTTGACAGGCTTTATAAGGAGCCTGGTAAAATGTGTATATTACACTCATTTCAAGTCCCTATTATCACTTTTGCTCCAGACAGAAACCTCCTAAAACAACAAAGTGATATCCTGGCTGATAGCCAAGCTGTAATGGCTGCTCATTACAGTGCTCATGTTACAACCAAAATGAGTCACTGCTTGAGTGGAAGTTATCCCAGAAGCATCTAGATGAAGTAGGAAGTAGTTTCAGAGATAACACACTGCCCTCTGAATCATTATTTTTTACTATGATTTGTGAGATGTAGTACTGAGAATAGAACAAAGCCTACTGTTAGGATTTGTTCATGCATGCAACGCAAAGAATCCTTACACCAAAGGAATTTGTTCATACACGGAATGAAATAACAGATAACTGAAGCAGATAAACAGCGGGAAGGACAAAGAAAATTAAACAATTCTAAACAGCATAGTAAGAAGCATGAGCATGCACATAGCCTAACCACTGCGGAGGGATCCATGTTCTTCTGAGAGCCCAATAATGCCCACTTTGCTGCTTGATGGGGTCATAGAATCCCAGAATCATTTATGTTGGAAGAGACATCTTGAGATCATCTAGTCCAACTCCTCTGGTTCAAGGAACATCAGACAGAGCAGGTTGCGCAGGACCGTGTCCAGTCAGGTTTTTAATATCTCCAGTGATGGAGACTCCCCAATTTCTCTGGGTAACCTGTTCCAGTGTTTGACCACTCTCATTAATTTTTTTTTTTTTTTTTTTTTGCTTGTGTATTTGTGTTCAGGTGGAAATTCCTGGGTTTTAAGCTGTGCCTATGGCCTCTTCTCCTGTTAGCAGGCACTACTGAGAAGAGTCAGGCTCCTGCTTCTTTTTTTCCCCCCTTCCATCAGATATTTATACACATTGATAACACTCCCTTAAGCCTTCTCTTCTTGGGGTTGAGCAACCCCAGATCTCCCAGACTCTATTAATAGTAATTATATTCCAGTCCCTTAATCATCTTTATGGACCTTTGTAGTCATGTGGATTGTGTTCAAGGTTTAAAAAAAAAACAAAATCCAAACAATTAAAAAGAAAAAAAAGAGACATGAAAGATCCCTTGTAATTTTGTTTGCTGTGAAGTTTAATATCCTGGCCAAATTACCAACAGAGGAGAATGTTCTTCCTGATTTTCATGTGTTAAGCACATCCATTAATTTTAGAAATAGTATGTAACATTTATTAAGACCACAGTTTCCCTTGTGAAGGCACCGCATCCTTGGTAAAAGTGGAGCATTCTCTGTACCACCCAGAAAATTTAAGTAGTGTACCAGAATCTCAAGATACAGCAGGCTTCAAATCAACCTATTAACGAGAGCAGTGATTACCCTAGAGACAGCATGGGGCAAAAAACATTCTCATAGCACAATTCCCATAAGGGAGAAGTCACACATTAGGCAGAATGTATGCTCTAGTCCCCAGACAGCCCTGAGTTTTGTGACTGCTCTTCACAGACAAACAGCTCTACCTTTAGAAGGACACAGCTGGATATGAGACTGTTGTTAACACAAATGAGATTTGGAGTATAAAATCAGCCTGTAATAAGTTTAAGGAGCCCCAGACTGCTAAAGAACTGGTTCCAGTTTTAAAATTGGTTCACCTGGTCAGTCTTGTAGTATCAGTTTCCTTTTACTATCATCTCTATTACCTTGTGTGCACAATAAGTCATTCAAGATTTCTCCTGCTACTGATTCTTCTCCCCTTCACAATCTAAGTACATCCTCAGGACTCCTCCCCGCCCTTCTCCCTAGGCTCTTCCGCTATCTCAAGCCTGTATCTCTGAGACAGAAGAGGCATAACTGGAGAAAAGCTAACATGCCTACAGTTCCGCAGGACCAGCCCCCAGGCTTGAGTTACTTACAGTGATGGGCAGGTCTAGTGGGTTAAGCAGCTTGTCCTGCTGGCAGAAAGCAAAAAAAGGCACAAAAAGAAGCAGACAGGATTTAGCTCAGAGTCCAGAAATAAGGCACAAACAAGGCACTAGAGAAGAAAGGCTTAACACAGCAAAGCTACACAATACAGACATATGCACATCTTGTATGTAGTTTAGATCTTGGGGTCTTCCTCAGAGCAGGACAGGTGTTTCATTCCTCACAATTGCCAGTGGGAATATCTCCCTATGACTTAAGAAAGGTCCCTTTTTTGGGGGAGTGGGAGATGGAGTGTTTGTTTAGTAAGTACATACAACCCCAAGGACTCTACCCAGCCTACCTCTTCCTTATGGAATTAACTTTCTTAAAAAAAAAAAAAAAAAAAAAGCCATGCTGTATAGAGGATTACTTTCTGTCTCTCAAGGCCTTTCAGATTCCTTTCTGAGCATTTCCTAAACATAGATATGCTGCTCCAGAACACATTATTAATGGGATGGTACTTTTTCTCTTATGTTGTTACACTGAAACAGCTACTTAAATTCTTGGCAAGGTCTGAGGTCTGTCTTTCCCAGAGAATACAATTTCTGAGGCATAAAGTAAATAGCCAGTCAGTAACCATTTTTCAGGTTTAAAGTAAAAAAGCAAGAACAAACCTGTCTCTTGTCCTCAGGTGCCTTCAGGAAGAGGGCATTGATGAGGGCAATGGCATATGTCTGAATCTCTTGGTTTGAGCTGCAGAAACAAATAGGAGGTTCATTAAGAGAATAGACAGTTCAGAATATTACAGCTTGCTGCTTTGCCTGCACCATAAGAACATTTAATACAGCTGTCTTGCATTTCAATGGATGAGCGGGACTGAGATAATCTACTTTCATGCCATCTAACTCTTCACAAGGCCTGCAAAAAGCTGTCAGAAATTGCTGACTGATAGCTCCATTATTCAGAAGATAGTGTAGATTGCAGCCCAGCAGAGCTCAGAGTTCCACACCACCACACTTTATTTCCAATGCTGAATCTACCTCTGTAAAGCCTAGTCATACTGTTGTCTGTTATATGGATACAGCTAGAAACTTATACGGAGCAAGTAATTTTTCTCCCCTATGTCAATGGAAGCCACCAAATACAAATGGAACTAAGGGGGAAGCATGCCGCTCTTCATGGCATTGCCTTCCAACCTCAATAGTTTGGCCCAAGCTACATGTCTTATTTTCACTGAAGAGCTTAGGGTGCTTAGTTCCTTCCTAGATCATGCACAGCATGTGGTTTCACTTGTGATGTTCTGAACAAGCTTCCAAATGCTGATAACACTCTTTTCCACCCCCATCTTGATGCTCTATCAAATCCCGTTTTGTTTCTTGCTATACTACTACTCTTTGTGGTGGGTGGACCTTGGATGGATGCTAGGTGGCCACCAAGCTGCTCTATCACTCCCCTCCTCAGCAGGGCAAGGCAGAGGAGAAAATAAGATGGAAAAAACCCTCAGGAGTCAAGAGAAAGACAGTTTAATAAAACAGAAGCCAAGGCTGCACGCAGAAGCAACAAAAGATTTTTTTTCTTTACTTTCCCCCATCAGCCGGTGACGTCCAGCCACTTCCCTGGAAGCAGGGCTTCAGGATGCGAAGCAGTTGCTCCAGAAGCCAAATTTCACACAAACAAATGCTGTGCCCCCGGGCTTCTCTTATCTTTTATTGCTGAGCTTACATCATATGGTATGGAATATCCCTTTGGTCAGTTTGGGTCAGCTGTCCTGGCTGTGTGCCCTCCCAAGATCTTGGCCATCCCCAGCACACCGCTGAGAGGAAAACATTGGAGACAGCCTCGAAGCTGTGCTGAGCACTGCTCAGCAGCAGCCAAAACACTGTTGTGTTATCAGCACCTTTCTTGTTACCAATACAAAGCACAGAACTGAGGGCTGCTATGCAGAAAATTAACTCTATCTCAGCCAGACCCAAAACACTCCTGGGAGACTTCTGCAGAACTTCAAGCTCTTCTGATTAACTGAAGTCCAGTGCATCACCTAAACAAACTTGTGTGTGTGTATACTTAAAAAAAAAAAAGTATGTGTATATATATATGTGTGTGTGTGTATATACATATAAAATTTAACTTTTATAAAACATCTAAAGCTAAAACATCTTCTAGCTTAAATAGCTATTTTCCCCACTTTGGTGTTTATCCCTGGCATATCTGTGGATAACAACCATATCCTTTATTCTACTGCTCCCTTCCACATCTTAATTTTGGTCAATCTGCCATACTTCAAACATGCAAATGTTCACACATCATCTTAGGTTTTCCTTGGGCTTCCAAGCTTTGCAGGTCTCTGTGACTTCATCTCTTCTACTCTTCTTTTCAACATTTGCTGCTCTTTTCACCACACTGCTTGCTTTTTGACACAGCAAAACAATTTTAAAATTAATTTCTCCTCTTCTAATGCATCTCTTTCAGACTTGTTTCCATGGACTTGCTCTTCCAAAACCTATCCTCTGCTAAAGACTGCTCCCTCCTGATAGTCGTGCCAAACAAACACCGGCATATTATGACTTGCTTTCCAGCCTCCCTTTCTACAATATGCCCTGCATAGATACTTTGTTCAGCAACCTTCTGTGTTCTGGAAGCACTTGAGCATATGAGCATGTAACATACTCATATGCATACGAGCATATGAGTATGTTAAAGTAAAATATCTTTACCATACTTTAAACTTTAATATACCGCTAAAGTAAAATATCTTTGTTCAAGACATATACTCATGTGCTTAAGTGTTTCCAGGACCCAGAACATATTTTTCCAGGATCTTACTTTTTAAAAAATCTGTGAGAAATCCTAAAGTTCAAGTAAGATGTCATTTCAATTATACTTTAAAAAGAGCATCTTTAAGTGTTTTAAACATAAAAAGGTGTATTTTCAACTTAACAGCTATTAATAAAATTGATTTAAATCACACCACTGTTGGGTGGACACTCACACTTGCAGATGAGAAATCAGCTGCCCCACGGTGATCTCTTCTGCTATCTTCTGATATAGAGTCTGACTGTTTAGCACCATGCTTTCTAGAATGGCTAGGGATCGTTGAAGGATGGAGACATCTACCATAGGCTGACTCACATACCCTGCAATCTAAAAACAGATGAACCAGCAGGTCAACAGATGCCCATCCAGGAAACATTGTGGTGAGTGAGACAAGCTAAGGGAGACAGGCCTCAGAAATCTGGGTGCACTGTGCTCTCAGTGACTACTCAGCTTCTCAGAGTCATCTTGCTCTTCCTGGAAGCTGCATCAAAGCATGAAAAGAAATAGCATCCACTCACCTGCTTTACCCAAACTGACCTGTTTGATGAAGGTTATTGAGACCATGTCCCAAGAGACAATACCATGGTCCATCAGCTCCAAGAAGGCAGTCAGAGTGAAAGCCAACATCTCACTGTAACTGAGAAAATGAATAATGCAGTTACAAGAGATCTGGTAGCCCGGAAAAAGCCTGTCTGAGCTCAATAAGCTGGATAAGAGAAAAATGTCACCACCTTTCATACATCATAAATGTCTCCTCTTTTGCCTCATTGAGTTTAGCAAATGACTAGAAAAATTTTGTCTCAATTAATAGATCAGCATTTGCTATGAAGTTAGTTGCTTAATGCCATACCAGCAAGCAAAATTAGCCACTTATTTGAAGGCCCTGCTCCAGAGTCCTGGAATACAGGAAACTTACTGGGACAGAAGCTTGGTTCCGCTCTCCACAAGCCGTGTCAGCACTGTAATCCCTTCCATGTTGATGAACTCTGTGGCAAAGGTCACATCTGCTGAAAGTTTAGCCAGTTCCTTCATGGCATCCAGTCTGGCTTCCATACTGTGCGACTGGATCCTCTCCATCAGCTGGCGAGCTGCCCTAGACTGGGAGGAAAGAGAGATGCTGCCAGACAAAGACTAGTCACCTGCAAACCAAGTTCTGCCAGCATCAGCATTCTGTCAGAAGTCCATGGATGGGCAGAGAGAGCACAGCAAGGGTAGAGAGGTACCAGCAATAAGAGGATAAAGTATCAGCAGTCAGCAAGTCTAAGACAGACTAAAAAAAGGCTGCACTCAGCAACAGTCACAACCAAGCAGGAGGTGAGTAAAATGCTGTTTTATATGTTAGAGTAAACGCTTGTTTTTCTTCCTGCTGAAGTGAGTGGAGGTGGATATAGAAATATGAAGTGAGACCATTAAGGAAATACAATGTTAAGAAGAATCTCTCATAGATTCAAAGAGAAGCACAAGCTCATTTTGTGTATCCACACGACATTCTGTAAGTTTTCTCAGACATAGATCAATGATATCCTCTCAACCTCCTCTCATTCAAATAACTTCTTCCTGTTCTGCTCACTCAGATATATGCCATGACACTTGCACAGAAAAAGTTTCAGAATTTCAATAAAAAGGAAGCTGCAGCAAGTCTGCAAAAGACAACTGTTGAGATCACAATAGCAAGAATTCACTAGGAACGACCCCCCCTCTGCATCAAATTTTTCTCTTCTTTTAATTTCTGCATTAAGGCACCAGTACTGTTGCTTTCCAACTGATGGTATTAACTGCACTTATACTGAGAATGCATCTATCAGATACTTTACAATATGCTAATCTAGGAGATGCAATAAAAAGTAGACTGGATTTATTTACAGGAAGTCCTATAAAAGGGCAGAGCATCCAAGGAATCTAAGGAATGACACACACCACAACCAAGAAGGAAAACAAGAGTGTGCGCCTCATTGTGCAGAATGGCCCGCAAGAAAGGTAAGCCCCCTACAACTTAGGGAGAAGGAGAAAGAAAAGCTGAGAGGCAAGAAACAGCCTGTCATATGAGGATAGCTAGTGAGAAAAAGGAATGTGAGGAAGCATTTACCGGGGAGATTGCCAGTTGTAGTATAGTTCCATTCTTGATGTCACAGCGAGTCTGAAAGAAAACATAAACTTTAAATTGCAGAAAAGCAGGAGGGAAAGAATGCAACTGGATCTACAATGCACATTTGTATGCACAAGTAAAGGAGTTCCTATACTACACAACCCTACTGAAGGTACTGTATTGCATCACTGGGTCCTCACACCTGTAAGCGTGCAAAGGGAGAAGTGGTAGGCTCCACAGTTGAATGACACCATTGAAGTCTGAGTATTTTTGATAGCAGAGATGCTGCCCCTCAAGGATTAGTGATAGTATTGTTCCACGACACTAGTCCAAGGCATTCTGCACTCTTGCTCAGGACATAACTGCTACCCCTCACACTGACCTGCTCTGTGATGTACAGCTGAGGACCATCAGCATACCGCAAGGTGTAGTATTCAGGGTTTGGCAACGACCACCTGGCAGAGGAAGAAGAAGGATACATAAGCTTCTTCCTCCTCTTTCTTCTGGCTCTCAATAAACAGGAGCTTGATCCCAGGAGGGTGGAAAAGAACTTTGAAGCAAAGTTTTAACATGAGAAATTAGGTCTCCCAAAGAGGAGAGAAAACACCTTCCTCTTGAGGGGAGATGGGACTTCAGTCTACCCTACGTCAAGCTCTGTAGAATGTCTGAAAGAGGCCTGCACTTCAGGAACAGCAAGATGGGCCAATCCTCAGAAACACTGACCTTAGGGGCATACATATGCACACGCTCAGAAGTGGAATAAAGATGCAAAACCCCTGCTTTCCAGGAGATCTTTTTCTTCCCGATTTAAAACCTAGCCCATTCCATGGCCAAAACTGGCAGCAGGCAGCATGGATCGTGCATAAGCAGCAGAGACTTTCCACAGTACCCCAACAAGATTTGTCAGGGGGACAGACCTTCTTCACAAGGGTTCCCAGAGAACTACTCACCCATCACAGACCTCCTTGATGATGGATGCAAGAGGCCTTTTCTAGAACAGAAAGAGAGTCCTCAGTAGCCATGTTCCTCTCAAACAGAAAGGAACACTGCCCATTTCTATGCTTCCCACATTCCAGTATCAAGGCTATGGTGCATCTCCTCCCCCATCTGGTTACCAGGTCTCACCTGATCTATTTCCAGCAGCTGGGCATTGGCACCTGGCCACTCAACAGCTACTTTCACAATGTCCGAAGGTGGTGGCATTGCTCCAGACTCCTGCAGGTACCTTTACAACAGCATACACCCCCACACCTGTTTAAGAGAAAGCATAGTGAGCAGTTCTCTGAAAATGATTTCAATTGTTATGTTGCATCTAACACCAAACTTCAAAACACTACATAAGACCAGCCTTATGGTTTGCTGGGCCTGCCAGGGACAACATCCAGTGTACCAGAGATTAAGGCCTCATACCAAAATAGCACATTGTGAAATTGTACGCCCAACCTTATGACCTAAGGAACATTTCTGAGAGCTTGTTGGGGTACTCACACAAGAAGGAGAGTCACTTTGATCAGCAAAGCACCATATTCCACCCACTGTCCGTACTGACAGCTCAGTTTACAGAACTAGTAAAGTAATTAGCTCCCTAGGCTTAGCTACTAGAGGGGGAACATGCTATCCAGGTAGCCCCCCTCCCATGGGCTGGTGTTTACTGATGCCCCATTCATATTTCTCAGATACCCTGATCCACTCAGGATACCCAAACAGGCTCCTAAGGCAGAGTACCAGCAGCTAGCTCTATCCCATTCCCTTCCTAGAACATCATAAATCCAAAACATGAATGTCCAACACAGAAGAAAAGTTAACTCAGCATTTGCTCTGGAGGTCTACCTTTCACTCCTTTATCTGCCTTAGAGCATAAGCTTGTGTCCAGGGTTTGGTCGCAGACAGTTGTCAGACATGCTGTTTGTGCTTCATCTGGTAGCAAGGGGCTGTAAAGAAATGTACTTGTTCAGTTCCTTTTGAATCCACTCCTGGGTGAAGGGAGTAGCCTGGCTCTCTCCCACAGAGCCATAGGGAGAAAGTCACATGGGAGAGAGACAACCCTCCCCATCAGCAGTTCTCAGGAACAAAGACTTCAAGCTGCCAAAAATGAGATCTGACCAGACACAGAAGTAGTCCTGTCCTTAAGGACTCCTCCTGAGAATCAATTTTCAGCATAACCTGAATGACATGGTAAGCTTCTGAAGAACAATTTCCCAACTCCTATGGAAGCTCCTATTTCTCCTATTGGGGCATCCCAATCCCTCCTTTCCAGAATTGAGATGAGACAGCACTAAGCAGAGGCATTGTTTCATGATGAACATACTTTCCTGACTTCCCTGATCAACTGGGAAAGAGATGCTAAGGCTTGAAGGAAACTAGCAGCCTTCGGAATTTTCCTGATGCAAGGAAAGTAAAGGAGAACTTTCCACAGATCAGCAAAGACCAAGCATTGGCAGATACCTGGCCCAGGAAATTGGACTACATGACTGTCCTGAAAAAAGGAACTTCTCTGCATTTCTTCACAAATCTTCTGCCCTTTCTTCCCAAATTTTTATTACCAGTGTTCTATTCTCATTCCAAGGCACAAACATACAATTTACTCTTCATAAGAGAGACACATTAACTTGCAGCAAGTACGTTCCCAAGAGGCCTCTAACCCTAAACGCATACACAGCTGCTTGTGCTATTTTCGTACCTGTTACAATCAGTAAATTGGACTCTATTCCTTTCGTCTACACTCATCGTGAAGCAGTTTGTCTTCTTTTGTCCAAAGTAAACTAGGAATTCAGGCAATAAAGCATAAGGAATCCAGGATCAGAAGAGCACCCTGCCTCACTGCATAAGCAGAGCAAAGCACCTGGGAATCTGCATAAAGACAGGAATGCTTTGAACCCAGATATACTGCAGCCCCCTGTACAGCACTTATTATTGAGCAAGCCTACCTATACCAGTTATCCTTAGCCTGTTTACAAGTCAGTGCCCAATATTTGATATTTCTGAGGGTAGGAAAAGTCTGCCAGGCATGCCACACTGCAAATCAGAAGTGTCCCTCCTGATCCTAAAAACCTGACTTTCTCCAACATCAAAGTACAGTGTAATAAAGAAACAAGGCAAAACCAGGAAAGCCTGCTGAGCCAACGTACTCTCTAGCATCAGCCATAAGAATTCAGAGCTTACCCAATCCTTCTGTCTCGCAAAGAGATAGATGAACCTAATAAAACTATGAATCAGTCTTTCTCACTTCCTTTTCCTGAATTACACACACACACGCACACACACACACACACAAATAAATAAAAACACATTTAGATTTTCAAATGCCTTTTGCAGCAATAGTTCAAACCAGGGGTAACTCATCAACTAAATCTTTAAGTACACCATGGCAGTTACTAGTATAGAAGCAGTAGCACAACTCTGTACATATTCCCCAGAAAAAGTGCCCAATTTGCATGACACTCCCAGTTCTGCAGAATATACAGGTTTCCATTGATTAAGTCTAGAAACAGACAGGCAGTTCCCAAATGGTATGTGATTTCCATTCACTGTTCTCCATTCAACAACTATGATGCCCTAAAACGGAAAGCCTAAGAAATCTTAGTCATATGGCGTAAGCACATGTCATCTCCAATAATGGGACTGGCTTGCAATAACTGAACAGATAATTCCTTCTCCCACAAGTGAACCCACTCACAACTAGAAAACATCTAAATCAATTCAGTGTGCAAGGCACAGCAAATACACAGTGAAGAGGCAAGGCTCAAAGATTACTTCCTTGAGTATTGAAAATTGAACCTGCAAGTCTTTTAACTAATATACTCATGAGTAATTAGTTTCTAATTACCACTTCTCCCTTCAGCCTCCTGCAGTACAGTCATAGTCTTTTATTTGTACTGCAACTTACATTACAAGTTGCTACTGAAGAGTACAAGGAAATACAGTATTTTATGTGCCAAAACAAAGACACCCAGATTACTATAGGTAGAAGCCTTTACAAATCTCTAACTCATCTTCTCCCTTGCAAAGAATATGCATCATTCAGGGAGAGGAAGTGCACATTAAAACAAAACCATTATGATATTATGGGAAGTTCTGCAGAAATCATAGAATCATTTAGTTTGGAAAAGGCCCTCAAGATCATAGAGTCCAACCGTAAACCTAACAAGTCTACCACTAAACCATGTCCCTAAGCGCCACATAAATATACAGTCTCCTGTTTCATCAGAAAAAGCCCTACAGAGGTTGGCCCATAGCTCCTAGAGGCAATGCACTCTACCTGCAGCAACCTTGATATCCTCACCGCTGAAAACAGTAACCAATTAAGTTGTATTACACTACCTTCATGTATCAAAAAAAGCTTTCAGCTGCATACAGAAAGTAACTTGCCATGATAAGTTAGACTACTTCTGCCCCAAACTTCTTCCATAAATAAGCACCCACTCATGACTGGAAGTCATGTTCCCTGTTCCAATCGGTACTCAAGGCACAGCAAATACGCAGTGAAAGAAACAGAGCTTAAGGGCTGTTTCTTTGCACAGCAGCACCATGGAACAGATACCCCATGAGCCTACCAAGGAAGAGAATCAAACATCAAAATGAATTAGCTAAGCAGAGCCTGGAGAAGAAGGAATTAAAAATTAAAAAAGGGAGGAAACTCTTCAGACAGTCTGGGTCAAACTCTTTGAAGGACCTACAGAGATCAGTGGCTCAGCAGAAACAGCCTTCCAGAAGAGGACAATGAAGACTGGACTACAATTACAAAGGGTACTTCAGGTCAGCCTCTTAACATGAGGATGTCTGTCAAAAGCATTCTTTGAAAAGATTTCACTGTATGTCTGCAGACAAGAGAGTTGACAGATTTTAAATTTTACAGTGAATACTTTGCAGCGCACCAGCGATATATTTGATAAAATGACTGTTCAGAAGCTCTTGGGAAGAAGCAGACCATAATTTTGCATAATCGTGATTATCAGTCACTTACAGGTCTCTCTTCTTCTCAACCACAGCACGTAAGCAATTCTCAAAGTTTTATACAGGGAGACAGCAGTCAAGCTGAAATCCATCAAAGATGAATTCACTCTGCTTCTGCAAAGCAAGTTCCTTCATACAAAGCAGTGTCATAGGGGTAGTTGCAACGCAAGGAGAAATCAGCAGAGCTGCTAATAACACACTATTCAAGAGACTTCTGAGAAGCTTCAAACTAAAACAACTAGAGTATTTCAAACAGAATTTCCCTATTCACAAACTCAACCTTCATTACAGAGAGAAAAAAGTGTGCTGCGCACAGAATGAAAATGAGGAGGATGAAAGAACATTCCATGAAAAAGAAAAGCTGCCTAGTAGAATCGCCCAGTCAACGAGCATTAATACCTGCAGCTTCTGAAGCCTGTAGATGCGCAAGACATCCTAGTCAGTTCTCAGCAAGTTCTCAGATGGTGGTAGTGACAGGCCAAACAAGAGGTGTAACTGTTATTAGCAGAGTGACTAACTGGACAAGCGTGCAGAGAAGACAGCTTCCCTGAGCAAGTAGCATAAGAGAGTAGCAGAGTCCAACCGGAGGAATACGTACAGTTTTCTATGTTCTCTCATATAACAAGCAAAGAGAAACATACTTCACTAGAAAAACCAAAGAACCAGGTGATCAGATTTTCCGTCTCTGGAATCCTACATTCCTCCAAAAGCCTTCCACAGCTGCCCTTGGGCTGCAACACTAAGCCTATGACAGTGGACTACTGCCTTGCGCATTCCAACAGGGCTGGGCGGAGACCATCGCTCAGCAAGGACAGAAACTGACAGCAACAGGCAAGAAGAGAACCGTTTTTTTATTCTTTTTAATCAGTTAAGTGAACCTTAAGAAAGCAGCAGCCAGTCAGCAACTCCCGCAGCCTGGGCCAGAACTCAGTTTAAGGCGCCCAACAACGTTCCGTGCTGCCCATTTTATGCCTCAGGCCCACTCGGCTCCCGGAGAAGCAGCCAACTGCGGCCTTCTCGGACGGCGCCTCTGCCCGACAGCGACC